GGCAGATCTCGGACAACCGCCGTTACTTGAGACATAGCGCGCTCAATTTCTTGGCGCGCTCCCGTGTATGTATAGCAAGCCTGGATTGCTTTGATTCGGACAGACTTCCATTGTACTATAGTTGCTACCTTTTGGGATGTACGATACTCGCACTGATCAAATGTTCACAATGCATGGCTGGTTGACCTATTGCTGAGGTCGCTGTCCTGACGTCATGACTACGAAGCTCGGACCTATATGAGTACGTATCTCACCCTGCACTTCGAGGGCTGAAGAATGCTACACCCGATAAGCGTATACTCATCTCTGTGACCGGTTGACCCCGAAGAGTAGTGGTCGGGCTCAGGGTGATATCGCCTCGATATATAGCTGACTGCGGATATGAGGTCAAGGACCAGGTTGATTTGGCGACCGGGCCGGGACTCCGAGTTGTTTGCGTCAGTTCGCGGTCGCGAGTCTCTGGGTTGCTTGCTAACCACCATGCACTTGTGGAATCTGCTACTTCTTTGTAACTCGGGTAGCTGTGGGCGCTATGGAAACTCCCTCGATCATAGGGCTGGCCAGTCGACGTGCTGGTGCTGAGTTCGAGCGGTGATTGTCCCGACCAGTCTCATATTGAAATGATTTCGATCGTTCCGCGGCGCACTCTGCATGTATAAAACGAAAGATTTAAGGTCGCCACTTTGCGAAGAGCTTTACATTTCCTTTTGCTTGCTATGGCTCTGACGTTCTACCCTCTGCCGGCCGTCATGGTTTCCGCCTACACATCACCCTTCACCATAGCTTCAACGCTATTGGCCGTTTTTGTGGCCACTCGGGTCGCGAAGGTCTGGGCCGATAGGAAGGTGGCTATAGCTTGCTCTCTTTGACCGGCTTGTCTTAAGCTTACGCATATCTCAGGCTACGGGGTACTTGCCAGGACCGGTGATGGTTCTGTCTCCCAATAACGTCCTACATGCCATGCTACCCACCAGTCGCTTCAACCTGGGCCTGCTATGGAGCTGGATCTGGCGCTGCAAAGGTTAGTTTAGTCCACTAGCGGGTATTTTAATTGCATGCTGACCTCATGTGCGCAGTGTACGAACGATATGGGTCACAGACCATCTCTGCCATCGGGTGGCTCTCTGGCGCGCCAACCGTCTACACCCAATCGAAGGAGGTCGCAGATCATGTTATTAGCAACAAGGGCCAGTTCGTTAAGCCATTAGAAGCATCTTCGTTCATCACAATGTGCGTTCGTGGTATCCTGGCTTTCGCGAGTTTCACTCACGCGTGAGTACATAGTCCTTTCGGACCCAACGTCCGTGAGTACCGTCCGTTTCCCATGATTTGCTTTGACTGACGGATTGCCGTCAGTCGGTTCCGAAGGGGAAGAATGGAAGCGCCATCGGCGCATCATTCAGCCAGCATTCAACAAGGAGACATACAAGCACGTTTGGGAGGAGAGCTATCGGTTGTTTGATGAAATGAGCGAGCAGGAAGGTTGGGACGATAAGAAAGAGGTCCTGCTGGAGCCGGTAAACTCGCTCACCAGCCGCGTACGTGACCTTGTCCATCTCTCTACTGCGTATGATCTGACGCCTGGTTAGTTCACCTTACTCATGATCGCTCGGTGCGGCTTCGGACACCATCTGACCTGGAAGAAAGAAGTGCCCGAGAACGGCGAGATGGAAATCAGCGATGCCTTAGATTGGGTGGGACTGAGTGCGTTAGCACAGTTGATGCTTCCTCAGTGGGTCTTCAAGCTACCGATGTCTTGGTGTGTACGATCCCGTCGAGCTCGCTACAGTACCTTACTGACTGCGATCGTTCGTCAGGGTTAAGAAGTCGGACCAGTCTTATAAGACGGTCAAAGCTTATCTGGCGGGTCTCATCGCAAGCAGGAAAGAGACGCTTCTGGCGAACGGCGGAGCCGATGACCTTCGGCCCGACGTCTTCACTCGTATGGTAGATGCGAGCACGAAAGAGGGGAAAGGGTCCTTCAGCGATGCCGAGCTTGTGCGTATCCGCTCGCCATTCTAGTACCATGTATTGACACCATCCATTACAGGGCGGAAACACGTTCCTAATGCTTTTCGCAGGTCATGGTGTGCATTCTTCGTCGGCCAAGTCGCGCTACATGATGTGGTTACTTACTCTGCGGTATAGATACTACTGCTCATGCTTTGGACGCCGTCTTGGGATTCCTTGCTATCTACCCTGACGTTCAACAAGAGCTGTACGAAGAAGTCATCTCTGTTTGCTCGTCCGACGCCCACTGGGTACGTAGCGGAGGCCATTCACCTCGCGCGCAGCGGGATTGAGTTTAGCCATGCAGCCCTTCGAGATTGCCACCAAGCTCCAGAAGCTGGAGGCGGCGATCGTCGAAGCCGCCAGGATGTATCCGGCTGCGTTGCAGATGTACCGCGTCGCCACCGAGGACACCGTTATCCCGACCTATGAACCTCATATCAACAGTGGTGTATTGCCTCTTCAGAAAGGCCAATTCATCAGCGTTGATCTAATCGGGCTACGTAAGCGCGGTCTCTGTTCCCAATCTCCAAAACCGAACTCATCATTGTCATAGACTACAATCCTCGCTACTTCCCCGAACCGGATGAGTTCCGGCCCTCGCGCTGGTACGGCAAGAACGAGACAGAGTACACTGTCTTCTCATGGGGTCCGCGATCTTGTGAGTGTACTTATCGCCCTTCTCTCTGTGAACAGATTCTCATCTCAATCATAGGTATCGGACGCAGGTTCGCTCTGACTGAGAGCGTTTGCTTCTTGGCTAAGCTCATGCGTACCTGGAAAGTCGAACCCATCCTCAAGAAGGGCGAGACGACGGTTGAGTGGCGTAAGCGTGCCATGTATGTACGCATGACGCTCGCGCTCGGTGTGAGCGATGTTCCGTTGAGGCTTGTACGCCGCGAGTAGGGTCATAACTGTATGTGTCCTGTTCCACGCCCTCGGATGATCCTAGAACGTCCTAGAACGTCGCCGTGCTCAATCGGCTCCTATTGCTCACTTACTACTGAGGCGGTGCCAACCACACCGTACCTCTCGGATGAGATAATGCGCACTCAAGCTGAACTGTCGATGGACGGCAGATAGAAGAAGAACTACAATAAGCGGCCAGTACCGAGTACGTATCATCAACGATCCTCGACTAGTACAGCCATCGATCTCTCTTCACCTTCGATCCATACCGGAGCACCACGCAGATCGGCCAGCTCGGTGTGTCTCGACTAAGCGCCCAGCGCATGCATAAAGACCACGTTTCGTGGCTGAGCTCGACGCTCTCTTTCTCCCTCGTACGACGTCATAGATCCCCGCGTGTTCATAGTGCAACGCGATGGACCTCCCGTCCATGTCGCCATTGGCTGTGGCATCGGCTGTGCTGGCGATCTTCATAGCTTCTCGGTATGCCAAAGTTTGGCTTGACGTGAAAGTGAATCACATCGTCATCCAAGTTATTACCGCGCTTCTCATACTGTGACATACACAGGCTACAGGGCACTTGCCAGGGTTTCGCATGCCTTTCTCCCCAAATCACCCCCTGGGAGCCGCCATTCCCACCAGCCGCTTCAACATGGGTCTGGTGTGGGGATGGCTATGGCGTCAAACGAGTGCGTGTTCTCACGGACTATCGGAACATGTCGTCTCACACGAGGACTTCAGCATATGAGCGGTTTGGCTCGGATACGATTTCAGCGATTGGCTTTCTCT